ATTTTTTCTCAATACTTGCTTTCATGAGCTATTCTTTTATTGATTCTCTTAATTCTTTTATATGAATTTGCATAGTTTTTATGTATAGGCTGCCATTTACTTTGGTCTGTTTGATTTTTATCTGAATAGTTCTATCTAATCCGTTTTTTCATAGTGCAAACTGCATCAACTGTCCAGTTAAGTCTAAGTGCTCTCATCCAGGCTGATCGCTAAATCCTATTTGGCGGTTCTTCAAAATATAGCTCGAACATACGAATTAGAACATAGATAAAAGCCAAATCTATTGATAAATGGGCGACAGGTGAATTTTACTTTCGAAGATCCTAAGCCAGTAGGGCTTGAAATACTTGCTATGCGACATGGCAGAACACTATTTTTTCTTTATACTGAATTCTTCTATTATCACCTTCCCTGTCTATTTGAAGAGTAGTGAGTTTATTCTCATATCCACGTCTCTTATATGTGCAAACTGATCGGTTTTAGTTTTTTTTACCCACTTGAAGGCACGTATCTCAGAACTCTCTGCCAGTATGGCCAATTACGAGCGCATCCATCGGACCGATCTGGACACCATTCACAAACTGACACGCCAATTGGTTGAGAGGACGAGCAACCGACTCCGGCCTCGCCCTTTTGCCTCCACTTCCATCTCTACTGCCGCCTCTGAAACCACCCCGGCGACAACTGCCATTGCCGGCATTGACGATAGTGCTAGACTGACTGTCCCTGTTTTGCCTGCCTCTCACTGCACTTCTTTGCCTTCGCCACGACTCGAACTCTCCTCAATGCCTAAAACTCTAGATGTGAGAACTAAATGGCTTATAGGCCCCGTGCACTTTTACTCTTTTCGTTTTTGTTGCAGAATATGTATGAAATTAATTGGTTGGCTTTAGATTTCTGTTATGAAACCTTCATACTACCGAGATGAAATTATTTAAGGATTTTTAGCCTATCATACATTATGTTTCAGTTTTCAGATTTGATATATCAATAAAGCATACGCGCATTACTGTGAACGCGTGAGGGAAATGCTTCGAGATGAAATTTTATAACTCATCCGAGTAATAAATGTCCTCATTTTTTCTCTTGCTTTTAGTTCTAGCCCTTTAAGAAATGGGCTAGAACGGTTATCCAATGATCCTAAGGGCTTGAAGCTTTAGTTCTTTCTGTCTACTTATTTAACTAAGCAGGATTCTCTTGCTTACCATCGCGATGTCTTGGGGCCAATACACATAATGACGAGAAAAATAGATGCAAGCGTGAACTGCAGAATCATCAATTTAATCAGCATTTTTTCTTTATTTGATTTTTAGGCTTAAGTCCTGTGCTATTCCGATATTTATATTTTTATTTCTCGTGAATTTATTTTTAAAAGTGCATTGAAACCATAAGATGTTTCTTAATCGCTAATTTTCTTACAATCGTTCTAATTTATATTAATGACCATCTAAAACTGAACTACCAAGCTTATTTTTTATTTACTTTTCATCTCAACCAAATTGCAACTCTAGTCGTTTTACTATTAGTCAATATCACAATTTATCTTTTTTTAAGAATCGTCTGGATTTATGCTTAACTAAATTAGTGGCCGCATAATTCACTTACTACTTTTACAGCTATATTGTCATGAGTTAGAAAAAGCATTCACACCTTCCTTGCACATTTTAGGTTTTATACCATTATTATTTAAATATTATGTTTGATGTCCTTATATTTAAGCATAACCTTTGTTTTAGAATACTGCTAGACTTTTTTATTAAAAATTCCAATGTGGCAGAAATAATGTGAAATCTCTTTTTTATGTCATTACTAGGAAGGGATATTTACTAGCTTATTTGGATACTTTG